GCAGGGGTGAGGAGCAGGGAGGCAGGGGTGAGGAGCAGGGAGGCAGGAGTGAAGATACAAATGGAACAGAAGACTTTGAGCCATGAACTTAAGACTTCTCTACCTTCTGTAACAGCTGTAAATCCTTTAGTTATTTAAGAATCTGAGAGCATTCCATGGGAAGGGACATGGGAACTGGAATCATAGGGTGACACAAGCAACCCAAGGTCAATGAGGCTGCTGATAGTTTTGGTTTCAGAGATCTGCTTCGTTGATCTTCAGAGAGGGAAGTCCTTTACATCTTCAGTCTCATCCTTCACAGCTCTGGATTCATGTACTGTGGTTCCCACAGAACCCTTGCATTTGTTGAATATCTTTTGTATATCTTGGGGACTTTAAGATGCATGAATCCTCATAACCATCATTCAGAGAAGAGATCATTATGTAAAAAATCTGAAGCACACAGAGAAGCAATTTGCCATTGATTGTGTCCCACTCCAGAGATCTGTCTCAGATTCCCAGAGCCTAAGAGCAGAATGTCTCTGATGCAGTCTTGTTGCCTGGCTATTGTCTGTTCCTAATACTAGACCCTACATAGTGGCCTCACCTCACAGCATGCTACTTTACCCATGACTTTTTAATTCTTGTAGTGCTGTTGTACTTGAAAAAAATCTCTGCACATCTCTTTTCGTACTCAGAGCTAATTAGGCTGGCTGTCATGAAGTACTTTTCATTTTGCTTGAAAGGATGTTGCTTGATGTTTTCTAAAGTTGAGCTCCTATGTATACATCTTTTAAAAGCCGCTGAAATATAATACCCATAAAAGATAAGGCATTTACTATCTCTAAGAAATCTTGGAGTATAGAGCTATATAAAGTCATGTATAGTTGCATAATACCAAATTATTATAAAAGTTCAGGTTCATCTCCCAACCTGCACAATTTAAAATAAAATATATAACCTATACTAATGAGACCCTATAAAGTTATGGTTTTATTTTTTCCACTTTTTTCTTGTTGCTTTTAAATACTAATTGTCAAATAGCTGGAGGATACTTTTCTTCTTCTTTTTAGAAGATCCAGAATTGCTGATGTTTAGCTTGCCTACTGAATTACCTAGCTCTTCCAGACATTCTCTCTCCAAGATGTGCCAAGTTCTCTGCTGTGAGTTTCTTCAATCATCTGGCTTACTGCTCCCACAACTGGGGTCAACTGTGCCCACATAACCATCTACAAATTACTGGGGATTCTAGCAAAACAGGGACAACTTTGCCTCTTTGGCTTCCTTAGACACTGCTAAAACTTGCCATGATGCATGAACTATAAATGTCTGTTAGTAGAGAAACAAAGCTAGACTTCTCTATCCATCTTCTTTAGGCCCAATCAAAAGAATAACAGAAACAAACAAAATCCAACAGTGCTCTTCTAGGTGTTTAGAGGCTTCTTCTGGGGAAGTCTCCTTCCAAGTCTGGAGGCTTTCTTAATGTTATTCTTTCTCTTCAGCTCTCTTCCTTCAAGATCTCTCCATTGTATACTGTTAGCCTACATAGTACATTTGTAGAATTTGAAAAGAATACACTTTTCTCAAAGCATAAACAACCCCATTCCATCACATGTCTTCCTGAGAGAAAAAGGTGTATCTTTGATCAGGGAGCATGTACACTGAAGAATCTGACATTAAACACGAAGGACAAGCCTCTTGTGCTGTATATGCAAGTCTAATATGATATTTCTTATGATACAAGGATGTCGAAAGGAAAAACCAGGCTAAAACTTGGGAAATGCAGGCATCCATTACTTAGCGTAGAATGTGTTGATTTGCTGTGCGGCCGCAGGCAAGCCTTTGAACTGAACCCTGGTTGTTAGTTTTCCAAACTATGAAGTGACATATCCATCACCTTACATGTCCCTTGGGTAAGATTGAGAAGATGCTTTTAGACTTCTTAGGGTATTAATGACCATTTATGCCTCTTTGTATACTTCGAGTTTGGTTCTCAAAGATTATTGGTAGCCAGAATCTGTTTTCATTAGAACCCATTTTGAAGAGTTTCTTTGAACATTTGATATCTAAAGTCACATCTGCCTTAAAATGTCAGCCAATACTTCCCTATTTGTAGCTGGTATTATGAAAGAAAAAATGTTAACGTTATTGCTTATATGTGTGTGTCTTTCTATATGGCAAGACTCCATGGAAGCTACCCAAGGACGGAACCCATTTTGCTTGTCCCTATTTACACCTTCTGCATGCGTAGCAAAGCTTCCAAAGACTTGCTTATTGAAGAGATACAGATGAGCATGAAGAGAGAAGAAATGAAAGGAGACAGAATATATGGTTAGACATCTGATGCACCTCTGGCTCCTGGTGGAAGGCTAGAAGTAGCTTTAGCTCCCTAAGACTCAGTTTCCTCCTTTTGGAAATTTATGATCATCAGATCTACTGTGGCCTCCTTTATGGAGGCACTGTGGGAATGTGATTAAAGAAAGATGGGGTATCTGTTTGGGTTCTGAGGTACCATCCATGTGAAAAGAGTATTTCTGCAATAACAACAGCAATACTCACAGAATGGAGGCATTTGTTCTCAGAGGGCAAAGTCCTAATCTGCACCTATTGCACAGGAAGGCACAACTCTATTCATATGAGGAATAACATACACTAAGTATGATATCTCCAGGGAACTATAAGTAATTTAGATCTGATACAGTAAAATCTGTGTCCAAATAGGTGAGCACTAGGAGATGGCAGTGAGAGGCAGTTTGAAAAGTATATGATGTGGGATGAAGGCTTCCTACATCAAGGTAACACTGCCTCATGGAGATTTGGACTGGAGGGAGACATAAAGACATATCAAGTTCCACTTTCTGATATAGATAGGAAAGTTAGGGCCCCTAAAAGGAGGACATTTCCTTGGGTCCCATAAGATATGAAAACTGGACAAAGGCTCCAGGAGATGTTGGACTCTTACCTGTCTAATTCCTCATCCAAAGGTTGGTAGTTGATCTCATAGCACTCAATTCTCTTTAGAAAGTCTTCCAAAACCTTTTCTTGGTCACAGTCTATGTAATCAGGACTGCCAAGTTTCACTTGCTGTGAGAAATGTACAGAGACAGAGACTCTGATATTGTACTTGGAAATGACCTTCAGGGACAACTACCCCATTACAAAAGAAAAGAAACAGAGTTTGACAATGGGTTTTGCTTAAGTTGGGCTGTATGTTACAATGGATTTACTACCAGAACATACATTGCTTAACAACATTTGTAAAAGGACAGGAAAGTATGATGCAGAAGAATTAGATATTGTGACTTGATATCATAAAGGCTCTTGTGTATTTAGTCATTGCTGAGAAAACAGGCATGCTGTCATTGGATTTTGCAAAGGCTGGCATCTCCTAATCCCCGATATTGGCCTTCTCCTCCTATATTTCCCACCACTCCACTCAATCACTTGAGCCTACACGGAATCTTACTTGCTAGCAGGAACTAACCCTCTCTAACCTCTCTTCTAAATAGCCAGTTGCTTTTGTCTCTGCTCACTACAGCTTTGTGACTGATTTCTGGTATTCTTTTCCTTTAAAGTAAAGATACTCCTTTAAAATGTTAAATTGTTATATTATTATTTGCATTTACATGTGTATGATGTAGTATTGGGGTACATATGTACCCATGGTGCATGTATGGAAAACAGGACAATGTTGTGAAGTTAGTTCCCTCCTTCTACCTTTATACAAGTTCTGGAGATAGAACTCAGGCCATTAAGCTTGTGTGCCAAGAATTTTCACCCACTGTCTCCCTGGCCCCAGAAGGATATTTATAACATGTACATTTGACAACAGGAATCTCCTATCTAAATTCTTTCACTATTTCCATGTGTCTTTTAGGATCAAGTATGAACTATTTTAGCAAATGGATCATGACTCAAACTGCCTTTTACTCCCATCTCTTACTGCTCTCCTATTTGAATACACATTTTGCCTTATCAGATCTAAACTACTTATAGTTCCCTGGAGAGATCATATCTAGTGTATGTTATTCTCGATTTCAATTCTTCACCTGTAAAAGCTCCTATGCATCTATCAGGATACTGCTGTTATCTCTAGGGGCCCCCTCCATGACATACCACCACATGTAAGATAGACCCTCACCACCATGTTCCTACAACCTTCCTTTCCCCCTTACCGAAGCTCTAATCTCAAGTTCTGTCTATATATTTGCTAGTGTCCCTAACTAGAATGTGAGTTATAGAAGGGATTTCACTGTTTCTATATCTTTAAAGCTCATAATGGCTATTCAGATATACAGTATCACCTGTACACCTGAATCAATAAATGGATGGATACTTCAGTGGATAAAGAGGGGAAAGATCTGAACATGTTATATATCCTAAGAGATAGAAATAGGAATATTGGGTAGAAGTTACAGGGAGAAAAATTTTACTTTGATTAGGCTACATTTTTTTTTAAGTGGTGAGTTGTTATTAGACAAATACTTGGCAGATATTTTAAGTACTTGATGAAAGTTGAAAGAGATGGCCTTTAAGGTCTCTTATGCTCTTGAGCTCTAGTAAATTGAAGGATCAGGGAACAACAAAAGTTTCCAAGGGATCTAATTCTCGACCATGCAGTTCCAAGTCTAACAGTAGCAATGACTCTGATTTTAAATGTTGGGTATAACACAGAACTTTATAGGGACATAAGGGCTCTATGTATGCTGGCTTCATGCAATTTTTTATAGGAACATTGTGGGCAAGGATGGTCAGAGGAATACTTCTTATACATAGGAGGGCATCTCAGGGAGAATGCTTTCTTTAAGTTTATAGTTGTCTTTTAGGTATGACTCAGCCCTAAGACAAAATACAGAGTATTAAAGGTTGGGGAGATAACTTAGTGGGTCAAGAGCTTGCCACATACATGTCTTAGGGTTTTACTGCTGTGAACAGATACCATGACCAAGGCAACTCTTAAAAGGACAACATTTAATTGGGGCTGGCTTACAGCTTCAGAGGTTCAGTCCATTATCATCAAGGCAGGAAGCATGGCAGCATCCAGGCAGATGTGGGGCAGAAGGAGCTGAGAGTTCTACATCTTCATCTGAAGGCTGCTAGCAGAATACTAGCTTCCAGGCAGCTAGGAGTAGGGTTTTAAAGCCCACGCCCACAGTGACACACCTACTCCAACAAGGCCTCACTGTCTAATAGTGCCACTCCCTGGGCCGAGAATATACAAACCATCACACCAAATAAGTTTGAGGATCTATGTTCAGATTCCTTAAACACACTTAAAGCTGAACATAGCGGTGTGCATCTGCAATCCCAGTGCTTCTACTGTAAAATGGCAGGTAGAGACAGGAGAATGCCTTATATGCAAGGGCCAGCTAGCTTAGAATACACAACAGAGAACAAGAAGAGAACCTACTTCAAACAAGTTGGAAGATGAGGACTAACATCTGAAGTTATCTCTGACCTCTACATATAAAAAAATGGCACGTGCATTCTATATTCACACATGAACACATGCATAATGTATGTGTGCATATATATACACACATATATGTACATATATATGTACAGATTTAAAGTGTAAATTAACACTTATTTTGAAAAGAATAAGGAAGAAAGGTAATTGGTATTCCTTACCTTGATGTTTTCTGCAATGATGTCTGGGTCATTACAAATAGACTCAATAAAGAAGACCTATAAGAGAAAAAGGAGAACCTTCCATCAGGGGATTATGTCTTCTGGGAGCCAAACAGCATTACCCATGCTTGATAGCCCAAGTCATCCCTAGGGAAATTGGTAAAAACAATACTTTCACATAATGATGCTTTCAGGATTCAGACTCCTATGTGGCATCCTGGCTATAATTGAATTGCCTCAGGCTTCTGCTGGCTTTTGATTCTTACATATGTTTCTCCTGACTCCATCCTTGCCACCTCAGCATTAGCCTGTAAGTACTCATCTTTCAGAGCCTAGCCTAGCACTCCCATGTTCTGCTGAAGCTGAATCTGAAAGCTAGATGTTGATCCCATGGTGTCCAAATTGGCTGCTCTAAGTACCCTACTTTGAACTGTTTTGAATCTGATCTTAGATAAGCATGGCTGTGGCACTCTACCTTGTAACCATGTTCTTTAGCAAACTGCAGAATCAATGAGCGTCGTTCTCTGGTAGTGTTGGTGGCATCAAAAACCTAGAGACATGTAATAAGAGAGGCTTATTCTCAGTGTAGTGTTGATACAATCACATTCTTTGTTGGCTCTTTTTCTAAGTGGGGAGGGGCAGGACTTAGAGTCTTAAAAAGAAGGGTTTGGAATTTGCTCTTGTCACTTTCAAAAGCACTCGTTGAGCTCTTAACTATCTGCTCATCTTATAAATGTGGGGTTTTATTAGGATCATTTTATAGGTCAAGTAACAGGCCTAGAAGAAGGACTTGCTCTAACAACAAGCATGCTTTGCTGTTAGAGCAATAGTAGAGCTTATTCTCCAGATGAGTCCTTTCCTTCCTAAACCCTTAGACACTCCCCTGAATAGGGAAAATTCCCTATCCTTAGCACCTGAGAAGGGGCTATTGCATATTTGGGGATCTCTAACCCAAGGATTTAAGGTATAATATTGCCGAGATATACAGGCAAATCTCAGTTTAGAAAGAAATATACTTCACAGCTCCTGTTCTGCACTATATAGAAGTTCATGGAATGTTCTCTTGTTTTGGTATTGGTATTTGTTTACAAGGATTTTTAATAAAAAAGGTCCTTGATCCTGTGAAGGCTGGATGCCCCTGTGGATGCCCCAGGGAGGTGGGAGTGGGTGGGTGGGTGAGGGCATATCCTCATAGAAGCAGGAGGGGGAATGGGATAGGGGGTTCTGGGTGAGTGGGGGGGAATGGAGAAAAGGGATATCATCTGAAATGTAAATAAAATATCCACTAAAAAATTAGTCTAAAAAAGATAAAATAAAAAAGTTTATAACATGTTGGAAAAAGGAAAGAAAGCAATGTTTGCACCACAGTCTTAAATTTTTGTACCACTGAATCTTGACAGCAACTCAATGAAACATAGGGCTTTAGAATATGGATTCTACAACTATACAATCTGGCTCTACCACATATATATCATACCACCCTGGGAATAATTTTTCCATGGTAGTTCTTTCATTTTCTCAAATAGAGCATGATAATGACACATCTCACAGGGCAGTGTGAATTAAATTATTAATATAAACAAAGTACTCAGAATAACATATGGCATAAATAAGTGGTTAGTACTTATTATCTACTTTCCATACTGACAGGTAGCCTGAGCGGGAAAAGGAAGATTACTTACCGCAACATGGCCTTCCTCACGGCTGAGATACTTATGGACATCCTTTAGGGCTGCTAGAGCACACTGCCTGAAAAACAGAGAAAGAAGCAGAGAATCCCCAATCCACAGGATCAGTTCCCCTCACTGCAGTCCTCCTACGAAGCATCTCTCTGTTGAACATCTACATCGTTCATCTACGCATTGAACTATACGCATAGAACTTTGTTCTAGCAAAGGGGTCAGAGTTGAAACTGGCTCTGTATGTACAGCTTAGAAGCTGTATGTAAGAAGACATGCCCCCCAAAAAGCTCAACAATGATATATTATGGTTTTAGGGATCTGACTGTGTGCTACTGGAGCTAAAGCTGAATTGGCTAATGGACATAGGTAAGGCATAGGGACATGTGTGCTCTTTGAGTTAAAATGAATTCTTGGCATAGGTAATACTGCAAGCATAGGCATGATAGTGATGATGTACTTAGGTTTTCAGGAAAGTATTTTTTTATTGGTTATTGGGTTCTGTAGTGAGGACCCAAACAAGAAGTTCAGAGCCAGGTTGCATCTAGATGTACTTCCAATCACATAGGTAAAAGAGACTTTAAAATTGAAGTGATCAGACTGCAAAGACTGAAGAGGGATGAACTCCTGAAGCACTCATCTCAAATGGTAGAGGAAGAGTTTTCTGGGCTTGCTTACCAGAAATACAGGACTAGAAAACCTTCTTGATAGGAAATGGTTATGACTGAGCAGATGTCGAGCAGGCTGAGAGAAAGGCTGGACTCAAGGGTGTTCAACTCATGGCCCAGGCTAACTATGAAATGTGGCTAACTATGAGCACAAACTGTAAACTTACCTTAAAATTCTTTGAGAATTTTTGCATTTTTCCCTATTTATAACTTGACTAAGGAGTTCTCGAGCATGTACATTGTAGAGGACTACATTGTGTTGTAATGTCACAAGTTTGGACACCCTGGAAGAGCAGGTTACTCTATACTACACTCCTAGGATGTGAAGACAGGTCCCACTCAGCCAAAGGCTAGTACAGATTCTTAAAAATTGGGTACTTACTTCCTGATAAGTTGGGCCTCTGTGTTGTCTGGGCGAAAGAATTCATAGTTCCTGTAGCTCACTGCCTCTCGTCGATACTGACCTAAGTTAAACACTGAAAACAGAAAACACTAGTGAAGACTTTGGGAAGTCTGCAGTGGCCAAAAGTACGCTCTTGCTGGAAGGAATCTCAGAGGTAAAAGGCATAATTTATATAAGACTTTAAATTATGGGTACCAGCTAATTTCCCTCTTATTGGTCCTGCAAAGTAGGAGTTAACCATTTCACCTTTACCAATGAGGAAAGTAAAGCTCAGAGGTGTAAAATAGCTTTCACAGTTAATAGCTGGCAATCTGAAATTCAAACCCAGGTCTGCTTGATTCCAAGCCATTTTAGTTTATCATAAATTCCAACCCTTTAAATCTCCTGTCCAATAGGGAAGATAAAGAAAGGAGATGCACAGAATAAAATCATTTACCCATAGTCAAACCCAGAGTGAATTAATAATGTATACAGACTGAGTCTCTTGACTCCTTGTTACCAAGGTTATTTTGCCGTTTAATATCATAAGGGAAAATCTAAACATAAATCTCTGAACAGCACTTTTCTGTTTGTAATGGGGAAAAAACAGAAAAGAAATGGACAAAGACAATAATCAGCCAAAGAAACCATAGTTCATAAATTTGTTTGTCCAACAGATAATTTTAGGATAGTGTGGGGGTCTGAATAAGAATGGCTCCCATAGGCTCATTTATTTGAATGCTTAGTTATCAGGGTGTGGCACTGGGCACTACTTGAGAAGGATTGGGTGGTAGATTTGTTGTAAGAAGTCTCTCATTGGGGATTGGCTTTGAGCTTTCAAAACACAAGCTAGGCCCAGTGTCTTTGTCTTGCCTGTGGATCAAGATATAGAACTCACAGATACTTCTCCAGTACCATGTCTGCCAGCATGCTCCCCTGCTTCCCACAATGATTGATGATAATGGACTAGAACTCTGAAACTGTAAACTAGCTGCAATGAAATGCCCTCGTTTATAAGAGTTGCCTTGGTCCTGGTGTGTCTTCACATCAATAGAACACTGATTAAAACAAATACCTATTCTGCAAAGTGATATATAACTTCAGGGTCTCTCTCTCTCTCTCTCTCTCTTTCTCTCTCTCTCTCTCTCTCTCTCTCTCTCTCTCACACACACTCACACACACCCACGGGGGGGGGGGGGAGAGAGAGAGAGAGAGAGACAGAGACAGAGACAGAGACAGATTTTTGAGATGGGGCCCTCAAGCAACTCATAAGTACAACATCAACCACCTCAGGGAAAAGGAGAGCTCCCAGAGGGTCCTTTAAGTGCTCCAACAGAGACAATCTCCAACTATGCAGAAATGAGGAGGAAGGAAAAGAAGGATCCGTTTGGAGTTAGCTTAGAATTTCTTAAAGACAGCAGTATTAGAACAAGGCTTTTTAGGGTAGGTGTCTTTTATTGGAGGGTATGAGAGTTGGGGGAGGGGAATAAGGACAGTATAGGTAGGTGACAAGTAGGTAGACACTACTTAAGCAGAAGGCAAAACATGTTTTGAGAGAAGGGGTTAACCATTGTGGTTAGGGTCTGAAAAGCTGGAATAGTCAACTGTGGATGGTCTTGAACAGAAGTTAAAGGGCTTGGGTTCAAACTACAGAGCAAGAGTACCATTGGAGAATATGGGTACTACTAGTCTTGTAGTTTGAAGTTGATTCTGAAGGCCTACGTGAGCAGTTAAGTTGAATACACAGAGTAAAAGGGGGATCAGGAGAGAGACCCATCTGCCACTATGTCCTAGGCTTCTTCAATCAGTAGAGGCTCGCTAGGCTTGCCATTCTGTATGAGAGTGGCTCCTTCCTACCTTTGCTTTGTCAAATGTTCCCTTCTTCCCACAGGACCCACCTTAGACACATTTTTATCCATGAAGCTTTTGATGCCTGTCAGTCAGCAATTCCCTCTGTGAGCACCATCAGCACCCCGTCTGAGAATTTCTAGTCCAGCCTAGGTCTTGTTATGCATACCATTCAGAGTTAGAACTCTTCAAGGACAGGACATGAGTCTCGACCATTTTTTATTTCTTTCCTAATGCTTGGCATGGGTTCTGGCACATGGATTAATTAGAGAAAGTGAGTAAGGAGCAAGGAAGGATAAACTGGGGAGGGGAGATTTGATGCTCAGTGTAACTCTATGGTACAATGTATGTCCAAATCCTAGCACATGAAAAGGAGGTGAGACAGAGAAGGCTTGATAAGAATGAGGGAGGGCTGACTGGATAGAAGAGTGTAGAAGGGTTGCTTTGTGTTTGTGAGCCTTCGTAAGAGCAGATGTAGCCTTACTACTAGTTTTTCTATGTCAAAAATCCAGCATGGTATTCGGTGGAGAATATTTTTCATGTAATGTATGATTTATAAGACCATCATGACAGTTGTATTAGTAGTGGTAGACATGGTTTTAATCCTGGAAACAAGGGTAGGCAGCATTTTTAGGACTGAAAGTTTTAGCCTTCTACCTTTCCCAGTTTTCAGTTAGTGGCCTATAGAGGAAGTATATAGCAATGATTTCTGAGACATACCTTTAGTCGGTGTTCCTATCCAGTTGAGATAGCGTGTGAGCTTCGTAGAGATGTAGGTCTTGCCTCGGGCTGGTAAACCCACCATGATCACCATCGTGGGGGAATTAGTGAACTGTGGTATGGAGGCTGGAAGACAAAGAGATCCTCAAAAGCTTAGCTCCACATTGAGAAGCTCTCCTGCCATTAGCTTCGAGATATAGAGTTGGAAACCATATTGCTTCCATTATTATGAGGGGGAGGGCAAAGCTTTAAAACGGGCATCACAACTTTCCTTAGACTCATCAGAGAACTGAGGTTGCAGTACAGAGAGCTAACTTAAACTTGGAAAAAAACCCCAGGTAACTGAAGAGGGCAATCAGACCCAGGCACTTCTCAGTTGATACAGAAACTGCTGAACAACATACCAACTCATAAGAAGGTCCAGATAAAAATGACTAATGAGTTGCTAAGGCTGGTTGTGGGCCAATGGGAACCTTAGAAGGACTGCAGACATAGACAGCTTTACATATTTTTCAACCTTCCTCCAGGTGCTGGCTGAGAAGATTGAGAAAAATCCCGAGAAAAGTATTGTATAGAATTCTGGCTTGGGGACATTGTGCAGGTGGGGAAAGGTAGGGGGTGAGGGTAAGGGCGAGGGTCCTGGCTTCTGGCATCTCCCCCTTCTCTGTTTAGTTAGAGAAGTCGTCTTATGATCAATCCCAACTATGTGAGTTTTGGATCTGGATGTCTAATTATGGGGGGTCTTAGACAAGTTCATAACCCCAAAACATTGATGTGAGACGAGTCACATCGATGGTCGAAGGCTTTAGGCTGTTGACGATGGGCAACGTCACTGAAGCTTGGCAACTGCAAGATCCTGCTTGGCAACTGCAGATAGACTCAAAGCAGTGTACCATATCTTCTGAAGAATAGCGGGGAGACCATAACTCAAGCAATGTACCATATCTTCTGAAGAATAGCAGGTAGATCATAATTCAAGGCAGTGTACCGTATAGATCATGACATGTTTCAAGGCAGAGGCCAAGAAGATTCTGTACTTTTCTACCACCTGGCCCCTCTTACCCCCTCCCCTTGTAAAACATGCTATAAAAAAGCATTTCATGTTCAAAAAAAAATTAAAAAAAAAAGAAAGAAAGAAAGAGGAAGCAGGAAAAAAAAAGAATTCTGGCTTGGGGAGGAGAACAGAACAATAGTCATTGCTCAAATTCTGCACAGAAAATTTTTTCCATGTTTCTGTGGCGTAAACCTTACTATTAAGGGAAAGGCAAAATAAACTGTAGCTTGAAATCACTGGTGGTAACTTGCTGCACCTGGCAGCAATCCTGCTCAATCTAGCCCATCTCTCCTGGAACATGGGACAGATTTACCTTCTCTCACCTGGGAGGGAAAAACATTTCAATCTGCAGAAGGAAGGGAAACAAGTTCAGGGCACTGATGAAAATTCTCTGAAATGGGAAGAAATACAGAAAATGCACCTACTCAGCAGGAATATGGAATCTTGTTGGTTCTCTCTTGCTCTCCAGTTGGTTCACTAAAAGTCAGTTGTCACATTTGGAGGCCAAGGACACTTGTGATGGGCACACTTCTGATACTCAAAATAAGACTGAGACTTGCTAACATATGACAACTTAGTTTCCCATTCTCCAACACCAAGGAAAAGGGTTTCATTGAGAATATAGAAGGGGGTGTGTGAAGAGATAACTCAGCAGTTGAGAGTGATTGCTGCTCTTGCAGAAGACCCAGGTTCAGTTCCTAGTACCATGTGTCAGCTCACAACCACCTGTAATTCTAGTCCCACAGAACTGGATGCCCTCTGCTGTCCTTCACAAGCACACACACATGCAAAAAAGTACTCAGACACATATGATTTTTAAAGAAATCTTAAAAAAGATAAAGTATCACTGAAATGTATCTTTAAGAGCTATAAGAAAGCTTGATGTGGTGGCACACACCTTTAATCCCAGCACTCAGGAGGCAGAAGCAGTCAGATCTCTGAGTTCAAGGCTAACCTGGTCTACAGAGAAAGTTCCATGACAGCCAAGGAGCCAAGGTTACAATAGAGAAACCCTGTCTCAAAAATTCGGAGGAGGAGGCAGGGAATGGACTGTCTCCAGGGAGCATTACAAAGGGTAAGATTCAAGACCAAACGAAAAGGCTGAAGAGAGAAAAACCATCAGAAACAGACTTAGCTGAACAGTGAATCTGGAATTATGAGACTAAAGATTTGCTGGGCAGTGGTGGTGCACCCCTTTAATCCCAGCACTTGGGAGGCAGAGGCAGGCGGATTTCTGAGTTCGAGGCCAGCCTGGTCTACAGTGTGAGTTCCAGGACAGCCAGGGCTACACAGAGAAACCCTGTCTCGAAAACCAAAACCAAAAAAAAAAAAAAAGACTAAAGATTTAAACTAGCTATGAAGATTCTGTTAAATGCTTTATTTGAAAACGTAATCACACATGATCAGACAGCTATCTACCATTCCTTTACTCAAACAGCATCTTTCTGACAGCAACCTAAGTATCTGTCCTTATACCCACAGGTAAGTACATGATGGCATACATGAGTGAAAATATCACTAAGAATCCCATAGCTTTGTATAAAATACATATAATTTTTAATAGAAGAAATATGAATGAGAGCTAAAGTTTAGAGATAATGGGAGAAGTTCTTTGAGGCTTTGGGGGTGGGTAGTTACTAGAGATTGAACTTCACAAGTGTTCCACCACTGAGCTATAGGCCAGCCTCTCTTGGGTTTTTATTTACTCTATATCTTTGGTTCTGTAGCAAAGGAATCAACAATAAAGGTAGCTCAGAAGTAGAAGTGTCCCAGAAGGGGAGCTGAGAGGGATCAAAACCCTATGGGATGAGAACCTTTCTGGAGTTTGAAACAGTGTCAACAGGTCAACAGGACACAAGCAGTCTTCATAGGAGCTTTTTTTTCTTTTGTCTCCTTCTACATTGTTTCTAGACAAGGTCCAATCATTACAGTGAATAGTTTCTGAACAGAGGACAGAAAATGATAGCCAGAGACACTGGAAAGCACAAAAAAGAAAAAAAAAGAAGAAGAAAGCGTTTCCTTATGACTTGCTAGTGCTTTGATCCTATTTAGTATACTAACTTTGGAAACTCAACTACCTTTAAGACTTCCTTTCAAGACCCAGTCAGATCATGTAGTGGGTGTACACAGAAGACATTCTAAACAGTATTTCTGCAAAAGCCCTGAAAAGTTGTCTGATGTTGGAAACATGTATGGAAAACTAAAAATAAAAACCAACCAACCAACAACAAAATTAATGTTCCCCAAAGAGTTAAATAAGAGAGCCACGAAACACACCCATGTATGAAGTCAAATATCCACTTCTATAGTACCATACAGAGCAAATCCATCCCTAGAAATTTTGACTTACATAGCTGATTATAATTAGATCCAATGACACTCCTCCTTAGGCCAAGATAACTATGATTGATATCCTATTCATATAATTTTGCTTTCTGAGGATTTCAGACAGATTTAAATATATCCCACGTCAACTTTTGACCCTGGCTTTTTTTCTCTTATCACAATGCACAGATATATTTTAGCTTATAATGCATTTGAGATATACTTTAATTGTTGTATAACTCAATAGTTCTCTTCATTCCTGAGTCGTATTCTAGTTTGTTAATACATCATCAATTACACGGCACCTTGGTTATTCCTAATAATTCGTGAATTTTTAATAAAGCTCTATGTTCTCATATATATTTTACATAAACATTTTCAACTTACTTTATGAATACTGAAATGAATTCTTATACTTAGAATTAAAAATGCTGGATCGTATGTCAAATGTATGCTAAAGAAAAGTACTAACGGAACTCCTTTCTTGTTTCTGAAATGCTGTTGGGAGGCAAGGTCTACTGGGAGATCCCTAGGTGAAACACTGCACATAAGGTAGTTGTGTATAATAGTTCTCATGTGACCCCTTGGGGTGTTTTGTAAATAAATTGTGACTGTTTTCTCAATCTTGCTGGTTCTCTCTTGCTCTCCAGTTGGTTCACTAAAAGTCAGTTGTCACACTGGCAACTTAGACAGGGACAACAACTGAAGGGACTAGATGCCAAAAGCTAGCAGGATACTTCAATAATGATTTTGATAAACTTTAGTACCTGAGTGAGAAGGCCCCAGAGGAACCTCTGGATATTGTTGGAGTAGAACTATAAAGATCATATTGAGTGAGGCGAGCCAGACCCAGAAAGACTAACATCATATCCATGGCTCCAAGGTCCAAATCATCATATATGATTATATAACCTGGAGTAAATGCAGAAACCAGGAAAGTAAGAATAGAACACTGCTAGGGTGGTGGAGTAGAGAGGATAATAGCAGGGTTCAAGTGATCTGATTGGGAAAATAAGAAAAGGGGGGGCTCTCATTAGGGAGTGAGAAGGAGAGAAGAGGGTAAGGATGACTTAAGAGTCATAAGGAATCATACTATTAACTACCTAAAAATGCCTACAATATATATAACTTGGTGTATAAACATACATACATAGTTTAAATGAAAATTTCCCATCTTGACTGAGAGTGCTCCCTCCAAGACACAAAGACTATCTAACGAAACCCAACACCAGGCATGATAAGCCCCCTTCTAGGTTATTAATCAGAATTCTCCAAAAGATTCCCCAAACATTACATAGGCTGTTGGTATTGCCCTTGCTTGCCTCCACAGGTGGACAGTAAGTCACTGTTGATGAAAATGCCATGTACTTCAGATAAAGTACCTAGAAGCACCCGAGCTGAAACTGACCTGAATGTTTCTTTCCTGAGGACTAGATTTTAAGGTATTAGAGGGATTGTAGCAACCAACAATTTTACCCAGCTATGATGCCTATGAACCACAACAACAATCAGTGTGGCATAATAACCCTAATGGTGCAGTAGTGGCATTTGTACCTTGGTGGTAACCAACAGCGCTCTAATTGGATTTAAGACCCACACAAGATGGAAAGCATGCCTTTTACTGGAAACTTAGCCAACTACTCAGAGCTGGTGAAGTCATATATCTTGGAGGAGAACCTCCAACTGTCACTTCATTACAGTAGCATAATCCCTAAGTACATTCTAAATATTTGTCCCTATGCCCACA